CATGTCAAATAGTATAAGTCTTTAATAATAAAGATGTCCTGGAAATGCACCAAGATACAACTTTGTTGAGGTGATAATTGGTGAAGTCTGAGACAGGCAAACAGATTGTTATAATTACGAAACCGAGAATGCTTGGCAAATTAAAGATCTAAACTATGGAAAATAACTGTCTATTTAAGCTGTCCGCAAGAACAGAATGCGTTTTATGCGTGTATACAAGTATTTCAACACGATCGACGTTTTAAGCAATCGTCTGCGGCACAATCAGCCATCTATTGAAATATGCACAAAACGCTATTCGTGGTTTCTCTATTACTTCTAAGTGGTGGACGAGAATGAAAAGTCGTTGGGGCTGAAGTTTTAGGAATAAACAGAAAACACAAAAATGCTTCCAAAGGAAACGCGAACATGCACTGAACTATCCTAAACAATGAATACTACTTATACGCGACCAAACATTCAAAAAGGAATCAAGAATGCGAAGCAAAGTGGAAGAAATTTGTGCAGATAAATTGAACTCGTTTAACCCACTTAGATGAAATTTAAAAATCGGTACTGGCCTTCGTTTATTTTGCCAGTATACTTCAAATAGGAATAAATAATGCTAACCGTTTTCGGTACAATGCTTTTTCTAACTGCTAATAATGGACAACACCTTCAATACTCATGAATTGTGGAACTCGTGTTTTTTCTAAGATATATCAATAGGGTTTGCACTCAAGTTTGGTAGAATGCTATATAAAGGTTAATTCCTTTTGTAATTAAATTAACATTATCTGGAACAAGTGATGTCTTCAAACAACTTTAAAGGACAAACATCGAAAATATTACCCTGGAATTTGAACTCGTTGAGTTAATCTCCTTTTCAATTAATCGTACCCGTCTAAACGGGGCGGCGTAAAAATATTATCTTCTGGGGGCTTTAATTTACTGAAGGACACATTCAAATAACCCAAAAAAATTAATAGACGAGAGAGAAAAACAACCAGTCCACGATTAACCAACCAACCTATAAAGTGTTTGTCACGAAAATGCCAAGGAACCTACAAACCCAAAATTGCAAACCATAAATGTTACGGAATACTAGAAAAATGGCGCATGCTTACGTTTCATTTTGAATTGACATTTTAAGTATTCATAGTTGGTTAAAACTGGCTAAGGTGACGTTTGCTCGCAAGCCACTTACACGAGTTTAATCAGGACGCGTGGCATAGTTGTCAAAAACGCAAGTGTTCGAACGGATAACTTGAGGGATTATCTTTAAACCAAAAAAACTAGCACTTCGTGAGAGAGGAACAATAAAGGATAATGAGGCTATTCCCACACATCAAGTGTTAAAGTCAAGCAAAACAAGGTTACGGTGGAAAGGAGTGCCTTCTCTTTAAGAAACCATGCATTCATCGCATTCGCAAAAATCCATTCCGAGATGCATAGTAACAATATTACAAATTGTTTGACGGCGCCTTAGACCGTCTGTTAAGGAGAAAATGTAGTTTTCAAAGTCTTGATTTAGAGTACTTTCAAAATAGTTTAAGTTTGATGGCATTTGATCAAGGTATTAGCAACTTCACATGAACGTTTGCCAAAATCAATAACTTTTTTCTACTATAAATTCAGGAGCTTATTAGCGCGAAACCGACCCAGGACATTTCCGAATAGTTTTAATTCAAAGAGATTCGCGTCATTAAAACAAGAGTTTAAAATTATCTTGGCTGACAATCACGTCTAGTTTCTCTTCTTCATTGCCTAACTATACGCTACCGCTGCATCAATTTTCTTGACCATTCTATTCTTCTACAAATGTTCCAAAACCAATGTCACGTGTCATTTTCCGATTGTTAGATAATGGGTATAGCATTACAAATTTGCAAAGAGATCTAAATTGTCACAAAAGTGGAAGTAAAGCTTGAATACAAGTAACGATAATTTTACAACGATGTGGATACACATTACAAGGAATTCTAGCTGCCAACGTGAAAAGTTGGTGTTCTACGGCCAATCAAAAGGGTGGCGACGAATGAGTCACAGCTTAATGGATGGTGATTCTGCTGTGCGCCAATGCACATTAACTTTGCCTTTAGGCACCTGATTAATGGTTGGTAAAATACCATGGTCAACCGATGCGTAAGGCCTCTACTCTACGACTGAATTCACCTCAACTATCTACAAATTTTTACGCTTATAAGTGATGCTTATTCAGACTTAAACTTTTCCTAAACCACGTAGTTTTACGGCTTGGTGATCCTTTAGATGTGTTTTTGCAGTTATAGAGCAACGGCTATATTTCAAAAAAACAGGAACTCAAGTAGGCATCCGATTTGTTAGATAAAAGTATTATTAGCTTGGAAATGCAAACATACTGGAATGGATCACTCAATGCATGTTAAAAAAATTATGCACATCGAATACAAAACAACCCATGTAAGGGTTACCTTAACCAAAAAGTGCTCACTTTATCTAGGTTAGGATGTGCGAATGACCTCAGCTGGCCACCGAATAACCATACAATCTCTCCCCATTACACACCTTCACGGTGGTAAATTACATATCTCAAGGCCATCTAGCAATTTTTTCTTTCAACTTCAAGCTCATAATGGCACTCAAAACCCTGTCACACTGGCTAGCAAAATCACATTCGACGAAGAATGCTTATTACTTGTGTAAAAATAAACCTTTTTTAAAAATAGGTACTCATGATACTTGTCATAAAATAGGGTTTGTACGGGTAAAAAGGAAACACAAATCTTATAGAAAATGAAACGAACGAGGCAAGATACACCTCGTAGATTTGAAAATCAGGAGTCAGAAAAAAACCTACCAGGTCCTAGATTTCACGCAAAATTTACCAAATCACAGGTGTTCTACTTTATTCGTTTCTTGAGAAGTTCGGAGTTAAAGGGAACTAAACAGTTAAATGTGAATATTGCTTTGCATTACTCTTATTTGCGGGTTTTAACAGAGCATAAATCTGCGATAAATTACTTGTCACACGCGAACTTACAGCATTAAAATGGTGCTGTCTCAGTCACAAAATGTCAAACTGACAAGTATTTTGTCTTAGAAAGACAGTGATAAGCCTCGCTACGTCGACCACAACTGTTAAATGCAATACTCAGGTAGTATTTGCGGAATGTACGTTGATGTGTCTTGGAGCCGGTGAATGTGGTTTGAGTGGCTCCAGTTCTTTTGACCTGATACCAGACGGAGTAGTCACGCATTCGTAGATGTTTTTTGGATTTACCACGTCAAATTCGTTTTCTTCATAGCTTAGCAAATATTGCAAGAGAAGTAATTATTAATACTGTAATTATATGATGTCATTTTAAACGCAACAATCTTACTATTTAGCAATTTGGCCAGGTCTTAACGTATCATTTACTCAAAAATGACTTTCAACACCTAAATAGAAGATTACCCGATTCCGTGTTAAGATCCTACTTTTTTGAAATCTCAGCAAATATGTCCTAATGAAAACCTGTTTCTAGTCATTCAATGAATCTACATAATAGTACACAATGTTTACTGCATTGAAGACTGAAATTCTGCAGGAAGATGTACTTGACATATTTTGCAAGTCTATCAATGCATTTTCATCTAGAGTTTACAGTTCCACAGTTGTGCGTTCACATTCTCATAGAAATATTCTGATTTTCACCAGTTTACCTCAACAAATAAAACCAAGTTGCACCTATGAGCACGTACTGCAAGAGTATTTAAGGCAGATTAGACAAGCACAAATTGATTGATGATGAGAAAAAAAGCCGCAAAATAAGTTATTCAAAAGTTTGGAGATCACACCAATTGAGGCCAAATTTATTCATTTAAATCAAATTTACGACATATCACTCGTAGATTTTTCAACCACATATATATATTGGGATTATTGAACTTTTTGTTAATTACAACGGAAATGATTGTTTATAAGTCATCAGGCTTAGGAAAAGGCCATATTCTACTCAAAGATGTACAGGTTCAACAAAAAATCAATTCGATGTTCTGTAAAAAGAAATGCCAAATTAAATGCGTTGCGTTTCAATATTTAAGCCTAACTGTCAAACATAATTTTGAAAGATTTGACCTTAAAATTGTGTCAAGCAATAGCTAAAACATTGCAGATTCCGAATCAACGGTAATGGTTGAAAACACGGGTTAACATAATAAAACGTGCTATATGTTTGAGTAATGTAATTTCAATTCAAAAAGATAAGGCCCACATCAACAGAAAAGTGTAATTTCCAACAGATTTCCAGACAAACCTCCAACATTTATTTCCCAAAAATTGTGGCGAAAAGAGTGCTACAACACACATTTTACAAAATGTAGTAAAAACAAGTCCATATTTTTAAAATTTTTATGTATACCGTTTTCAGCCGCTAAAAAGGTAACAAAATAAAAATTAACATTTGGTTTTGAGGCTAGTGACTATTTCATTGGTAAGAGTGGAGTCTACGAACTGCCTCAAGGTAAATCATGAATTTAATCTTAGTGAGTCCCCGTGTGGCCTCCGTAACCATCCGAATGGGATATTAATTTATGCGAATTCGTAACTCGTTACGTCAAGACTCTGTGCTAGAACACTTGGTTTCGATTTTAACGCTTTTTGTGACGGTGTCAGCTTCAAAAACATCAATGGCACGAAACGGCACACGCAAACACGAATTTAATTTCGAACAGCAGCCTTGCTATGTGCAATCAATAAGGTCTAAAAATACTGTATCATATTCTTAAATCCTCAGACATATTTATTTTGAACCTTACTAAATGTTCAAATTACTTTTTTTCTTTTTTCGTTTGTACAAAAGTAATGTAAGCAATCAATCTTTGTTCTTACCTGGTAGGCTCAGTTAGGAAATTCAGTAACATTATGATTCAAGTCGTGTGCCAGGTTGTACTAGCAAATGCAAAATTTAAGAAGACATTGTGTCATGCTTCTCTTACTAGCTGCTGTTTTATTGATTCTGAAGACAAGTTCCTTGCATATTAAAGTGCAGCCGACTCACCGTGAGTGCCACAGACAAGGGTCTTTGAGGTGCTCTTGTCCTTCCACTCCCGGGCAACCTGAAACCCGTTGTCGGGGCCTGTCATTGCAGCCACGACTCTTCGATCGAGCAGTCGCGAAGTCACGATCAGCATGACGGCGTCTGGAGGTAGGTCAGAGGGGCTTGCAGCCTTCCATAAAAATGTGTCTCCGTTATTTTCGCCCATTTGTGTCGCCTTCTACAAAAAGGTGTTCGAGAAAAAGTCGGTAGGAAGCCTTCGGAGAAAACACTTGTAATTTACTACGAACCAAGGTATTTCAAATGACCTAGTTGTAAAATAGGGAAAACGCAGGTCCATATCGGTTACCACAGTTTCTATTTCTAACATATCGCTCTGGAACCCTTTCTGCCCTACTGAAATCTTTAAGAGCAATATAGAGATGAGTATGTCCTGAGCTCAGATTATTGGAAAACGTACACGTGAAAAGTAAAAATGACAAAAGCAGGCTGGACCTAAATATACTGAATTCTTCCAAACAACAAAGCATTACTATGAGCGTACAAATTATTCGCTTTTTTGTGCCAAGATGACTTCTGATAAAGGCAATCACTTGAGTTTTCAAAAAAAGGATTAATACTTTCCAACAATAAAACGGCACAAATTTAAGATGAATTAATAGTAACCGAAAATTTGAAGCATTACATAGAAGTGTCTTTTAAGGGATGTTTTGATTCTGCTGTATGGATTGGAGACATTAACTTACTATCTCCAGGATGCCATAGCCTGAAATGAAGTAAACCCTACTGCAGACATTCCAGGACGATTACGAAGACAGCCCAGGGATGTTTAACAGTTTTGCATTTGTGCTTGGGTTATGATAACAGCGAGCAACAACCGTGGCACTACTGAATCAGCACATGACGTATCTTTAAACAGCGCTGTGACAATGTTGTTGGACGCGCAAAATAACATCACTTAAATCCTCCTTTTTATTCCTTGACGAGATAATTGGTTACCGTTTACAATGTCAACTTAGAGGCCATTCAAGCTGTCCACGCTAAAGGGGCACGTCAAATTGTCGAAGCGGTAAACAAGCCCTAGACGAGGGAATCTTGAATTTTATAAAATATTCCAATTGGTCGGTCACTGCTTGCCTTCCGCTTATCGTGAATAACAGTAGAGGTAGTGTAAATGACAAAAACATTAGAAAACGTGCATCTGAAAAGTATGATCATGTAGTAAAAAAGATTTAAATTTAGATGATAAATACGAGTCAACTGCCTTGGAAAGCAAATGTTTCACACAGGCAATAAGTACAATTTAATTCAATTTATCGCATTTACTGTGATAAATCTCACAAAGTAAACACAACATTACGACCGCACAACAGAGATCTAGGCTCCAAAAACGTAATATACTTTTCATGTGGTTGTTTTATTCTTAAATAACAACATTAGTATCCGAATCAAATTACGAATAACACATTTATTTCTAAGGACAAAAACATTGGTCAAAATAACCGAATTTTACGACCTTCAGATGGATTGTGGGGGTACAACTCAAGTCAGGCACAAAACAATTCACATTACGTTATGCACCATAAACTGGCTCTGTCAATTACAAAGTGTTGTTCTCTCCAAAGAAATTAGCCAAAAGAGTTAAGTTGTGAAAAATAATGCCTGTGAAATGTTGTTTAATTCCCGGAAAAGCTAATCAATGATTTTATGGATTACAGAAAAACTTTTTCCTGCAAGTAGCCAGATCCATTACACTTAAGAACCGGTGTTCTGAAAAGTACATTTTGGCATTATGAATAGTGCAGCATCACAATTGCAGCAAATCTACAGACAAAGCAAAATCAACCACTTCTGGTGATGACCTAGCCAACATGATTGCTTGCGACACAATTTTATGTTTCTGGGGAGAATGTAAGTAGACAAATTACAGAGTATCTAATGGTAGGAATAAAATGAAAACACTCTATCATAAGATTACCAACTTCTGTTTGAGGGGATGACTGAGACCGCAACAGACTTATTAAACAAAGTTGACGTGAAGTGACAAGGCTTATATAACAATTTCTTAAATTCACAATGCTTGGTTATATTATGGGTAGTGTATGGATTTAGAAAGGCAATTTTAAGCCAATTTGTCCCCTGATCAGAAAAAATCTAATAGAGAGAAACGTATGGAAGTGTATGGCGTTCATGCAATAAGCTATAATTCCTGCAATAGTAAATTGTAAGGGGATTTTGAAAAGACTTTTAAAGTAAATATTTTTAAAACCATTTTTGCGAGCAGTCAAAAAGCCAAACCCTTTATTAAGTGCTTGTTAGCTATGCTTAAAAAATATTTGACGGTTGTATAATGAATCAGAAAAAATGCTAATAAATAGTCACTCAAGGTGCTGTCATCTGCATGTTTTACATGAATTCGCTTATAGCCCTCAATATTGTCTTCAACGCTTACCGTTATGTATCATGCATGTACTTATTTTAAGTTAGCACGAAAAAGCTATTTACCTTGTGATCGTTAGTATAAAAAGTCCGGAGGGAAGAGAGCGGCGCTGAGTGTCCAGACTTCGAAGGAAGAGATTCCAAATAAGCACATTTATGAGACTCCATTTCTAAGCCCATTATTTGCGTCTGCGTATAGATAAAGGCATTTCAATGCTCGACAAGTCTATACGAAGACCCCTATAAAAAGAAAAAAACGTTTAGATTAACAGGTAAATTAAAGTGCAATGATTTACGGTGCTTGAAAACATCAAACATCTAAGGACGTTCGTTTAAAGATCTGGTTTAAAAGTATGATGAGACTTATACTGATATTTTTACGTGAATTTTTTTGCTATAGGAAAAAGACATTTCCCGTATCAAATTTTTTTTCGCTGGAATTACAGGAAAAATGTAAAAGAGGGTCAGTAATTCCGTTCGTGGGGTAGCCAAAATAAGTAGTCATCATTTTGTATAGTGTTGGCAGATTTGCTCGTCGCAAGTCGAGGGCTCTGGCAAAGTGGATGGATGCAGTTCGACATGCGTACTACATCCATTTTCCTCAAAATACCTTCTTAACAGATAAATGAATGCTGTACATTTAAAGTTGGCGCAAGCGTATAAACAAATGAAAAACAGTAGAAACATAAGATGACTCGGGCGGCATTTGATGGAGCTTAAACATTATCAGCAAACAGCTAGGCAGAACAATTTGGCGACACTAACACCCATATAGACATAATAACTTTGGTACAAATAAGTAAAACTAACTGTAGTAATATTTATCAAATGATCAGTTTCAAATTTATAACCTACTATTTAATTTATGAGAGTAACTAGGTATTTATGAATATGAAAAAGGTTATCTAAAAAATTTTAAAAAAGGAATCAACCAATATATTGCCTATTGTTAGCAGAAGAGATGTAAAATCTGTGTGGTACTACTTATATAATACAAAAAGCTCATAAAAAAAACAATGTAGCTGATATCTTACAATGATTATAATTTGGAGGATAATTCTGTAAAACGGTATTTAGAAGAAAAGTATGCACCACATAACATCACGAATTAGTCAGTTATTGTTATCTAATAAATTTTAAATAAAGTAAATGCGGTAAACAAATCAGAATTCAGACATGGGAATTGAAAATAAACAGAACCTAAACCCAATGGGTATATGTGTGAGTGAGGAATTCTACCCATCACAGAAATGCAATAACATCTTTTCTGGAGTTTTCGCACTTATCAATCCAATAATAGAGAGATAACTAACCTAAGACCAGACAGCACCCCAAAACACCAAACAAAAGCCGCACAATCACAGTAACTGCTACTTCAAATTGCTATTAGGCTACTTAAACAACAAACTAAAATAGGATTTCCGAAAAGTGTAAATAACAATTTACACTAAGGAAATCAATATCATTTAGATTTAATTTTCAACGCTAAACCAAAAATTGATTTGTTAAGTTTTGGTGTTATATAAAGGAAATAAGTGAGACAAATTAGAAATGAAATTATACAATATATCACTTGGTTTAGAATTCTAGCCTTATTTCCAAACTCTTTTAGATAATTAGTTAATTAACTTTCTAGCACTTAAGTTTAGGGGGTACTCATTAACGATATAATGTTATTAATTTACTGAGAATTCTTGGACACAAAAATTATAAATACAAACCAAAAATTAAAACAAAGATGGAATATTTAGTTTGAATACAAAAAACCTTTGACTTAAGAAGAACACAAAGCGATCGATATGCTGGAATTAAGTAATTCTCTTAAAATATCTAAATTATGCTCTTAAAAAATTGCCAATCAGATATAATTTGCAAGGAAGTTGTTTTAAAGATATCGACTCCCTCACATTAAAAATATCACCCATTTACAAGTAAATAGTAAAGTTCAAATAAATCAAAGCTGGTCAAATGTATTTAGTTTTGTTTGCGGCCTATAACATAACGATTTCTTAAATAAAAACCTCATATTCAACATTATAATTTCAAATATTACCTAATTACATCAAATATATCTGCATAATTTTTTGTTTTTTCGTAGATGTCTTTTTTCTCGAAAAGTATTATAAGTGTTAAAATTTTTGACGTTAAATCTGAACACCTGAAGATTGTGACCTTTTGTCTGCCCTTCAAAATGGAATCACATAATTATTACAACTTCATAGTGACCTTTACTATGCGAATGACCTTACTTTGCTAACCTGCCTTTTTGATATTTAAAAATCGTCTTTCCTATTTTTTTGGAATTATATTTTTATACATTATTTGACAGTGACACTAAGGGCGCAATCTGCAAAAAAATTAAATCAGGCTAAATGCGCACTCAATTCGACCAATAAACTGTTCCAATTAGTTTGCAATCGTCTCACTTTTAATTAAAATGTTATGCTGTTTCCTATATACCTCTGAATTGAAATTTAAAAAATATTGATTCTGTAAAGGAAGTGAGGTTGCAATTAGCTTATTCATGATATTTACCAGAATAAATCATTTCATTTTGGAATTTGATTTCAAGGTCGCCTGTTTCCACTAGCCTGATTACACCTTTCAACTGGTCGAATACGAATGGTTGTGCTGCTTTTCTGCCGTTTTATTATGTAATTGTACTTTTTTATAGTTGTTGTTTCTAGAACAATTTTTGGTGTTCTTTACCCTGCATACAAGTCGTACAAGGCTCTGAGGTACAAGGATGTGAAGGAATTAGTAATAGTTGGATTTCGTATTATCATTTTAGGTCCGTTTAACAATGTACTGGATTGTATTCTCTGGTTTCCTTGCATTTGAAACCGTTGGTGACATATTTCTGGCTTGGTATTTTTTTAATTTTTTACATTTATTTTTAGGTTTCCACTTTACTACGAAATCAAGACCGTTTTCGTCCTCTACTTGGTCCTGCCATTCACTCAAGGGTCTAGCATTATATACAGGAAGATAGTCCATCCTCAACTTAGCAACAAGGAAAAGGTTTTATTATATTGATCAATGACCTTTTAGGATATCGACCAGTACATCGAGCGCGCAGCTGAGTCAGGATGCAGCGCTGTTATGCATTTTGGTGCAAAAGGATTAACCTATGTAGCAAATACTGCTATAAGCACAGCAATAAAGGTATGGGAATTCTTGGTGGTGTATAATTGTACAACTATCCTGCTTGTCTAAGTTAATGACTGTGCTTTGTCAATTAATTATTCTGTGTAGAAAAATGATTTGATTTGACGTACTAAATTGCTTCAAGGTCTACTTTTGTTCTCACTGTTTGTAAGTGGAATCTTATGTATTCAGCGAATGACATTTTTAGTTAAGCTTAGTTAAGTTTTAAAAAGCATCAAGTTTTTTCACAAATGAAAGCTGAAAACACTTCTATCTTTTTGTTGATAAATCTAGAGCCAGGATCTTATAATCAGTCATCTCAATCAAAGGAGTCTTAGCCTAGATGATATACGACCCCTGGCGTTGCAGAGGCCTAGCGGAGACTCTTCAGCGACATATGTGTCATGTAGGTTACTTCGAATTTTTTTTGTGGGAAAATGTGTGTTTTGTTGATCGAGGCCCATTATTGTATTTGTGGGTGTCTATAAATTGACTTTCTGCTTGTTCTTTGGCGTAGCTAAGGAGCATAACCAACCGCCTCTGCAAAGGACTCGGTCTAGTCGTCAGCGATTTGTCAATGCCAGTAAGTGTGTTCTTCATCATTTCGCATTTACTTGGCTACTTTGTGTAACAGCTCTCGCTTTGTTGATGTAGCTCGTGTCATATTGACTTCAAATTTTGAAACTCGATGGAAATTAAAGCGTTCATACCTTCAGTTCTTGTGAGAGTAATACTCTTACCAGAATGGTAGCATCAAAAGTGTGTGCGGCACAAAGTCTTACATAGACACAGCTGTCTTGTTTAATTTGGCGATTTATAACCAGTGGTTTTTGGTTTTAATTGAAATTAATCCTTATGCTAGCTACCTGTAAAGCAAGGTACATAAATTCCTGTAAATTTTACTCTACGTAGTTAACTGCTGTAGTTTGCTCTTAGTGTTTCTTATCCATGGTCTTTGTCAATATGTCTGCTATTTAACACTGTTGAAAATCGATTATCTCAAACTAATGATATGGTGGGGTCAACGAGTCATTTGACTTAATGAGTTCTGTTGCACATGCAAGGCTTTGCTGTGTCCAATTTATTCTACGGACTATTTATTCAGATGTGATTACTATCCAGGGCTCTTTCTGAGTATCTACTTTTTTTGTCTTAATTTACCAAATACCAAATATTTTGCCAAAATGCTTTAGAAAACATCGAACTCTTTCGTTTGTTTTACTGCAACCTTCAATGTCCAAATCTTTAAGTAACTAGTAGTAATTTCTGTGACATGTACTTTTTCCCGCTTTGAAGTTCGCACGAGTCTTTCAGGGTCACCTGCCACTGTTGACTTCGTGCGTAGTTGACGTAAACACCTGTCTCGTTTTCCCTCCCTAAATGCAAATTCTGGAAACTTTTCGATTTACCATTTTTGATTTTTATGTACTATGCCCTTTGAGGAGTTTAAGGGCCCGCCTGTACCAAAAGTATTCCTCCTCATTGGCTTGTCTTCATTGTTTATTTGTCGAAGAAGCACTTCAGGCTAGTACTATTTCGTTAGGCTTGTCTTAGCTATCGTCTTGATTACATTTTCGCCTTTTTTAGTCAATTTTAATTTTCTTGGGTTAATTTATTTAAGGCTACGTTAAGAAATCAAGTCAAATCGCTCGTACTTGCCCTTCCTATCGCTTGCCTTTTCAATAACGCACACCTTCGGTATTATTATTAATGGTGATGCTGTGTTTGAGAGGGTTTGGGCGCTGTTTATTTCTTGGTGCTCATCCAGTCTAAAATGTTAACATCCAACTGTTACCAAGCCAAGAATCTGCGTTGTAAGTTTAGCTCGTTTTCGAAAAGCCAGCCTAGCTAAGTGATTTCAACTAATCTTTTAGATATGTTAGCCTCATTTACTTCTACCTCAAGTCCTTGTATTTTAGCGTCTCGTGTGTACTTGCCCACCGAATCACGAGTGTGCCTGTCTGTATCACTTTTGCCACGTGTTTTTTCTTACTACCTAGGAAAAATGCGTCTGTTTGGCTATACGTTCAATACATCCTGACCTTCGTTGATATCCCAATTGGCAATATCGTAACATTTTCAGTGAATGCCACTTGTGCGTCACTATTTAGATCCATACTTGACAAATGTTGTGTCTTGTCGGGAAGGAATTTCTGTCGTACGTAATACCACCGATCCATATGCAGTCATTCTTATTCTAAAAATTGTCGCATAATACCCAAAAACCCCCCAAAACGTCGTTGATATTCTTTCATTGGGTACTCCCTCACGTAGAAAAAGTAAATAATCATGCATTTGCTTGGCCTCCAGACCTATTTTCAGTCGCATAAACCCTGATAAATAACAAATACAACAATTCTCCGCTGGATGCTGTGTGATTGTCATTTATTTCGGGATTCCAATATTTGGTGTCCATAAATTCATTACTTAAGCCCAGCAGTATATGTTCACTATGTATCATATAATTTATCAAACATTTCAAAAGGACGAGTATCTGAAGTTCTTTTCCTTGTCGTAAGTCCCCTTTTCCAAACTGTACGTCTGACGTTTCAGTTGTCTCATGCCGATTACTCTGTTAGGTTTGCATGAATTATTACTCACCGTTTTGCAAATACTTCTCAAGTGGCGAGATTCATAAACATGAAGACATTTACTTCTTAGTAATTATTTGCCATTCGGTCTTTACTTTAGATCAGTTTTTCAAACAATGGTGTACACATATAGGGACCACGCTTTCCTGTACTGGCCCCAGATATAGGAAATGTTCTATATTTATCGAGTGATTTATATGATTACTTGTGCATTGGAAAATTCCCACCCAAAGTCGGACGAAGGTTACGTGTCATCCCTCGGATTGATCATCTACAGTTGCGGGCTCTCGGGTGGTGTTTTTAGACTTGAAAATATTCATGTGACTTTGTTAACTTGTCATGCCATTAAAAGGCTAATTCACGCAGACCACACCTTCGGCGGTGGTTCAAGTGCTTCCATGCTAATGATCAACTACTGTCGCACGTTAGTGAGCGCGAACCTTGTTCGAAAATTGCCGTAGAATGTTGGTGTTGTAACCGTTAAGGCTAGCTTTTGCCCATAGAAAGCCAAATTTGCTGGATATAATATGTTATGGTGTTTAAAGTTTTCAGACGCATTCACACTGTTAAAACAGGAAAGTTGGGACAGTGCCAATTTTCCTCCACCTGAATGTACTCGGGTATCAGTTTGTTTTGGAATTTAACATTCAAACGTTCTTGGGGATTTTTCACAACAAACACGCTTTCACGTTTTGTCACACGCTCATCCAGTAGCCGTTACTTTATTGGTAATGGCAATTAAACTTCTCTAGATTCGATCTTCATCCTTCGAGCATACCAAGCACCAATAAACCGAAACCTTTGCGAGATGGAATTCTTTAACCCATGAAACTGACCTTACGTGGTGATGAGAGAATATGTATTCAGTAGATTATTTTTTAAAATGAAAGCAGCCTTTGGATTATTTTACCTGACCTTGATCCGATCTTTAAAAGGGCTAATCGGTTTCACGAACTGAGTTGTCTTGAATATCAGCTTTATTTCACTAAGATCGGTGAAGTTAAACAGGGGTAATGCGGATTTGACGATTCAGGGTTTGAGCCGTGCTTGTGTAGTCGAAGTTCAACATACAATGTTCTTAAAAAAGGTAAAAATAACTTGTACGTGGTACATTCGTGGAAGACATCACAATTGCACAATGCGTCTGAGAGCGTACTTGGATGCCACCGTAAAAAACGCCTACTATAATACAAGAAGGCCCAAACAGGATGAATTCATACGCAATGCAGAACTTACTCAAACCGGCAATGCATTTTTTCCCCTCAATAACATGTTTCAGCCTTGTGATATGACTGCTGCTGGGTTTCCCCATAGGGTCACGGGGTGCGCATTGTTAAATAAGTACAACTCGTTTCTGCTAGGGATAGTTTTGTAGGTTCGAATAATTGAAATTGTGGGATGCTTGGCAGAATCTTCCCACTGCCTATAGTTTTGAAGCAGTCTGAAAACAACAGGTTATGAGCACTACCGAACTAAGAAAACTTCCATGTCCTCTGGCGCATAAGCATGAGGACAATCGCTTCGGTTATTTATCATGTGAGAATTTAATAGAGCTTGTTCTGCATCTGCAGTTTTATCAAGGCAGTTGTGTTTGAGCCTAAAGATCATGCCCTCTATTTACCCCCTTAATATGTTAATGACATTTCCTCATCACTAACCAGTTTTCCTTCTAGAAGGATAAGCAATGATTATCCTGTTTGTGCCTGTTAAGTGTGTGGCAAAGTTTTCATCAGAATAGGCAAGTAGTACAATGATGTAAATGTTGAACTGATTTGTAAACGCTTCACTGTTTGACCATTTTTTAATACCAGTTTACCGCAACTGGGATTCGGGGTCGCAATACCTTAAGTTTTTCTCTTACAATGTGTCCCCATGCCTCTTAGGCTCATACCTGTTTGATGAAATACTTTTTAATTACTCGTTTTTATGTTCCAACTGATGCTTTTTCGGGGTCATTTGGAGTGCACACCACTAAAATGAGGCGGAATTTTCAGGTGGTTGCTTATTTGCATGCAGTAAGGAAATTTGGTCAAACATAAACCTCTGATTCGAACTGCTGCGCAAAATTAGTCTGCCTTGGCAATCTCTCTGTATCCATTGTGTGAGGTTGTGCTTCGTTTTCAAATTATTTCTGCAGTGTAAGTTACCAATTTGTAGTGTTTTAATTTCGAGGCGTCAATTATCCCTGGTTATCCCCAGTCTTCCAAGTTATTAAGCCTCATCGACATTCACGCTTTTTTTTTCATTTTTCGCATTGAAATGCTTACGTGCTCGTAGTTTCACTTGCATTGATCATTTTGTCTTCCATGTTTTGTGTGAATTTCGGGTCGGTGCTTAAAGGCGCAGTCTCTGTGGTCTGTTCCTTCCTGGTCGCACGGTTTCCACTAGTTTTTGGTGCATTGACAATTCCTTAAATAGACCATCACCGTGTGAATCAATAGTCATTGGTTTACCAAAATTTACGTCATTTTTTAATCATCTGTTTTGTGTTTTTTTTGCTAGCCGCCAAAAATATGTGCCTTTCGCTCTCATGTTATTCAACGATAATAGGTGATTCTTATTGCCCGTGATCTTTGTCTGCTTTGTGTAGAACTACGACATCGCATTGGCATGTGCTTAATTTAAGTGTTTGCCGGAAAAAAAACTCGTGTTTTTGACTTTTTTGGTCCTTTATTGAAACTGCTGCGTGTGTGTAATTTCATGTGCGATATGTGCCGGTTTATGGGTAGGAAGATTGAGTGTGAGTGGCCCCATGTAGGTAAATTGAATTAGTTCCCTGGGCAAAATCACCTCCGAGTTGATTTTATTCATTGAAAATCTTGTGTCGCCTACTATGAGCTGCATCCTTTCAAAGTCGCTGCTTTGATCAATGCCCCTTATTTGTGACTCCAGCAACATTTCTGCCAAGTAGGCCTCTGTCAGTGTTACAATGTTCGATTTTGCTTGTTGATTTGCAGTTTTTTGCCTAAGAACGTTTAGAATTTGTCATGTTTCTAAGTGTCGCCGCATTGGGTATGAATTTCGGCAGTGAACAAAGGTCATTATTAGTAGGCATCTTAACTACGCACAAGGTTGATAGATCTACAGAGCCGCTATTTGTTAACTTTTTCGGCGTTTATGACACCAGCTATAATGTTCAACTTGCACCAGGATTCCGTTACTTTGTCAACCCCCGAGAATTCAATGTACCAATGCCTTTTTCACCAGAGAAAAACCAGATTAATAGTCAATTTTGTTTGTTGACTACGCAAAGGCTACCTTTACACAGACCCTCTGAAGATACGCTTACCTCGTATTAGACTCATTTAGTTATCTGGTCCTAAAGCACTTGTGTTTTGCAAATTGAATTGGTGACTTACCAAATTAACACCGACCAGTTTTTGTTCAACGGACGCGATCTGTTTGCGTTTAGTTTGTGCAAAATGCGCCTGGACTTGTGGACGAGATGTCAGTCTAAACGCAGGGATCACAAAATCACTTTGCACTGCCAATTACAGATTCGTGTCTAAACATTCTTGGATTCGTTTTAACTGTGTTTCTTATTTCGGGTAAGTTTACCAACACATCGCTAATCGAGGGTGCTGCCTCGTGTGCCGCTCTTTTAGGCAGTTGGCAGAGGGGGACGTCAACTTTGAAGGCATCCTTGGTCTCATGAACCGTTGGGCTACGTGTGTGATATTTTGACTCAACAGTTCTTCGAGTCATAGTTAGAGCCCTGTTACACTTGATTGCGCACATTTGTAACGGCATTTTCATTTATTGCAGTAGATGAATTTCCGTCTGGCTTCTCCTGTCTTATTCTGCTGTAACGAGGAGTTTGTGGGGATCATTGAGAGACAATTATCTGATTAGAAGACTATTGTTTGCACGCATCCTTTCCCATCCTGCCACACAGCTCTTACCCTTTCACACCGCATCTCATTGACATCAACTACAGTAATTCCATCCTCATTCACCTCCGCACGGCTGTGCTAATCACAGTAGGTTCTTTACTGGAAATTTTCAATTATCATGCAAGACGGAATAGCATCATTTTCAAACCGATTCGCCTCGTTGCCACCGAGTTTGTCGAGATAGAAAAATGCCGAAAACGCGGGCCAAACATCACGCCGTCCAACTCGGTGGCAACTTTGTAGAAGGACTGGCGATTTTATGTTTATCTTTTCGCTGTGTAGCACCACGTTATGGTGGAGAGGAAAGCAAGACTGCCATGCTGTGTTTCTGGGACTAACAGTAAAAACACCAACATCTGAAGCTTAACATTTCAGCATGCCCAGCACGCACAGTCACCATGCGCGTAATAGTATTGCTTTATAATGGGAACGGTAATTTAACTGCACAATCGCTATCCCAAAGTACCTGAAATCTACCCTAGTATGGACTTGGTTTTACCCTAAATTAACTTATTGAGGACAAATTCATCATAAAAATATCAGCCAAATTCTCAGCCATCAGTCATTTTCAAACCCTAGTCATTCTTCTTTGTTTTACTCGTCGAGTTTGGGGCTTTTAGTGGCTTATCTAATGCCCAGTTATCATCATGTCGAGCGTTTCCTCCATTCAAATGTTTATATAACGCACTCGAACCCATCACCCGTGTATGCATCCCCAGATCCCAACCCAAATATTCGCAAAACTTATTCACAAGGAGACATGCCCTCCTTAATTGTGTTCTCTCGTGACAACCCACTCCCTGGGGATCAACGAATCGTGTAGGTTGCCTTCTTTGCTCTGCCTTTGATAGCCGTGGTGACAACAGTTTTGTTTGGGATCCGCGGGCTTTTGTTCCTAGGATCTAATGGATGCGAACATGGCGCTATTTGTGGCCCGCTTTCAAACAAATCCAATTTTTATGTAAACGTAAACTTTCATTTTTTTGATTTATTCTTCGCGATTTTGTCCTGCGCCACTACTGCTACTCCGCCAACGACAGACTATTTTACTAGCTTAGATCGCATAAAAAATTATGCAAGCTAGTTGTGCACTATTACAAGCCTTATTGTCAGTAACCAGAACAAATAGTCTGGCATGCGAGCACATTAATCTGTCATTTTCGTTGTTAAAAAGTTAACTTTTATCTCAAAGTGTATTAAAATGCTCAGGTATTGTTTAAGTTCTATTGTTTCAATAGCCACTTCAAGCTTGATCTTGCAATTTTTAGTTCCCCTAGACAATGTCAAGGAACTTACAGACGAGGAGTCACAGAACGTGGAGTCGGTCAGTCCTGTCGACTCGGGTGATGTTCCGCGCCCGAGTGTTCTCCGAAAATCATCATCAGAATTTGTAAGTACCCATTGTTGTTTCGGCGAGCCGAGGAGGTTTCACGTGTAAGCCATTGTGTTTTGTTTGTTATTATTGTTGAAGAGAGAACCGAACTCACCTAAAGCTCACATGCAGTACCTGCGGTCAAACACAGAACCCATCAATGCCTATCTCATGCGGGCTAATTTGAAACCCGTTGCGCCAAGTTCATCTGTGACGGCATCGCGCTGTCCCGCTCCGATCCCACCCCGTTCTGTGGTGAGAACGGAGCGACAGATTTCCCAACCGATGGGTAACTGTTAGGTGTTGTCGCGCATCCACCAGTCCGCTCGCATGATTTCGCAGTTGGGACTTGTGCATGTACGAAGTCGTGGGGTTGAGCGATTTCGCAGCTCGTTTTGGCACTGCTAATTTGTTACCTTTTATCCTCGCTAAATTGGTTTTGTTACACCTCGCATGTCTTCACCTGTCAAATCGCCTGCTCTTTCGCATATCTTTGTAATCTGAATGATCGTCTTCGATTTTGTCTTGATCAATTCACGAGTTCATTTCTGTAGTGATTGGTCTGCTATGCAATGACCTGCCTCCCCCTAAGGCTACTGTCTTCTATTGTTCCCTAATCTGCCCTTCTCACCATCGAGGAATTGAGGCTTTCGTTCAGACGATTTTCCATCTTCCCAATCAACCCTCCATTTACCGTTACGTAAAAGGGGGATTAAATGGAGGTCTTGTTGAAACTGTCATTTTGAAGGCAAACGAAGTTAGGGCCTAGTTCTTGGCTTAACTTCGACGCCAACACTACGGGTTTATAGTGTTTCTCCTAACGTAGAACACTTATAACGAAGATACTTAATCGCTCGCCTCAACTTGTCTTCAATAACACAAAATATGAAGGGGTTTGAGTTGAAAACCGTCTGCAACCATTCTCAACATTTCAATTTTTCATAATAACCACGTCGAGGTAGTAAAATGTGTGTGTCAATTAATGAATAGTTGCATTCATTCACCGCAAGGTCAGAATAGCGTAAATGACTTAAACGTTTGCCTATAGAGTGGCTAATATTAAATTATTGCACGAGTTCTCGCCTCTGTTCGGCATACAGTCTGGGGCATTTTTAGCAGGCACAGGGACGCACCGCCCCTGCATTGTGCTTGTGTAGCTGTCGATTAGTTTCGTCGAGTGGCAACCTGTGGTGCTGTTTTTTAGGAGTTAATGGGGAGACACGACGATGTTGAAGAAGTTTTCGATGTTTGCAATGTCGCCTAAAGACCCCTTCGTTAAACAATAGACCGTCTCCCTTGCTCTTCGCTATATATCTTACGCTTTGTCTGTCGATTTGTTTTGTAGCATCGCCACGGGTCACTGAAAAAACTATCATATGTAGGTAGACTTTATCTAACTTCTCCGTGGCTTTGTAACATTACCGCTTTTTTCATACGATTAGGCACTAACCACAATGGAGCTGGCTTACTTTGGCTCGAACCTGTAACGCTGATTGTAGTCATCTGCATTACATGCTTTTTGGATTTTTATAATCTAACCTTCTGGTTAACGCTGTGGCTTACCTGTATCATTGATTGTGAAAGAAGGGGTAAGTTTGTACTTTGCCGGCCGTCTTCAGATAAGGTTGAGGTAATTACGATAACTGGATTTGAATGGAAATGTTTCTGATTTATGACTTGGTGGATGTTCGGTGAACGAACGTTTATCGTTGCTACTTTTTCATCAGGTCTTGCTAATGGGCTGGCAACCTTTTTGTCTGCTTTTGTAATTCCCTAAAGCCTAAGAATATAAGCTGCCATCTCAAGTTTTTATCCTCTCTTCTACATCCCAAGTCAGGTTTTGTTCAATGACCTGTTTCCCAGTTCTTTGATTTTTTGCTGTTCTAGTGTTTAGATTATAGCGCGATTGAATTTCCTTTTGTCTACCATCAGCGCATCCTTTTGTCCTGTCCATTTTACGTTTCGTCGCCGAAATCGTGTTTTGCTACGGTTTTTGGTTCCTTACTCGTCGAAAGGCTCTTGTTGGGATTGTCTGTCCTAACATACAGTGTAGTTCTTAATTCGTTTGTTGGCAGTAGTGTCACATAATACCGTCTTTATTGCTAAATAGAATCATCCTTTTGATTTACTTTCTCATTTTTATTCATGGACCCTAGCTTTTGTCTTTTTAAAGATATATTGCTTATTCCAATTCGAACCTGTCATTTTGCACAATTAGTTGAAATGGCCTTTATGTTACATTACTAATCGATCACCTTTCGCCTGTAACAGGTTAACATTTACCATACCATTTACTGTAGCGGTGCTGCACTACGTTCTACAGTATTTAAAGGCTTCACAATTGCCTCGTGGGATATGCACTGTTAAAAAATGTTGCTAGGCGAAAAATTATTCGTGTCGAGCAATCTGTCCACTTTTACTAGAGTGGCCACTGTCGTGCCGCGCTAATTTATGCAATTGCTTATCGCTGTGTTTTGCTTGTCAGATTTACGAATGTGCACACACATCTGGTAAGTGGTGAACCGGCCCTTCCTTCTGCACACTCGCGCACTACCGTATATGTGTGTCACTTATGCACCTAAAATCCCCGATCGTCTGCAATGGCCCCGTCCTTTTACTTGTCAAGGCGCTCTTTCGTATCTGTTTCAGGGTTCCAGTGGCGTCTTTCAAGTGCACGTTAAAAAGTCACAACATAGCATGTTTTATTAGCCTGCAATTCAAATAAAAGTTATTCCTGGGCTTACTTATGAGTGTGCACATTCGGCGTCTGTGTTGCCATCGGCATTCTTCAGTTCCTTATTTCTTGTTTATCCTCTGGATTGCATTGTTTTTTTTTACGTTTATGGACACTGTTGTGTTAGACTTGGTTTCACGAATATTTGAAACACACTTTTCCTTATTGTAGTCGACGGTCTCACTGAAATAACTGACTGTCAATGTTGACGACTCGCGACTTAGTTTTGTTTTAGCAGCCCACACCTGCCGTCAGCAATCTAATTGTCTCTTCTGTGTGGTCCAATTATTGTGGAGTCCTACTATGAGCTTTATGTACAGTTCCCGAGTCGCCACGTGTACATGTTATTATGTTTGTTTTGTCTTGTATTAGTACGCGATCCTGGGTCATTTGTGTGGTCACTGGTGACCTTTTCTCAAATCACCTGGAAGCTTTTGCTCGATCATTGTTCTATGCTGTCCTGTATAACTGGTGGCGGACAATAAAACAACGTTGCTATTTAAGCCTATTGGCCTGTTGTTTTTCTTTTGTTAAAATTGTTCAAAGTTCTTACTCGATCCGAGGTTTTTGTGTAACTTGGTTTACTTTTTGAGGCATTTGCTAGACTGCTTGTCTAATACTACGTCAAATGACTACCTTGGCAAGTCTTTAATCGCCGTGTCTCATGCATACTTGCAGCCAGCTTGTCCTACGTCATTTTATGCTTACGGAACTTTACCGTACTTAAGGCACGGGGTTTGCGCTCTGATTCACGACCGTATGAAGATTTTATATTTCGTTTCGAATCACTACACTCAGTTTTTACAATTTTTCATGGTTCAGAGTTCCACAGTTCTCTCTTGAGAAGGATTAAATATTGAACACCATACATAAGGGAACAGTAGTTGTATTCGGTTTTTTTTTCACTGTAAAAGGAGTAAAGCAATTCAGCCCTGCTTAACCAAAGAGGTGGCACCGAAAGGGTGGTGACTATTTTAGCAGGAACTTCAAGCGCTGTTTCATGTGATTTTCACACCCTAACTGTCAGATCAAGGCGTAAATCCTCTTTACGACTTAAGCATTTCATTAGGTCGTTTCAATCATTCCAATTCCAAGCATTTGTGCGCCATTTCAGTGTGCGTAAAAAGTGCTCGTTGTCGTTCACTTGCGAGTTAGTCTGCGTTCGCTCAAGTTTTGGTTGTCGGAAAAGCGGTTTTTCTGACATTTCATGTGTCAGCTTCGACATGTTGAGACCTAGTTTTTTGGATTGATTAAAACACTCCAAAAGTCGTGACGATTGTGCTGACAGAGGTGTTGCAAACAAATGAATTCCCCATATATTTATGGTTTCTTGAGTTTACATTTAAAGCCACTTGGTCTTGTTGATTCTTCCTGTTTTTTTTTGCTTTTACGTCATATTTGTGCAGGAAAACCTGTCCCACTGGGTAAATGAGGATCCGAGATTTGCCTGCTAACAAAATGATTATTCAATCTTCTAGTCTTTGTCATCTTAGGCTAATCACCCACGTTCGTGTGCAATTCCAACGCTTACGTCAGTTACGTAAAATTTGCATGCACACTAACTCGTTAACTGTTTAAAATTTCCCTTTTTTTATCAGCAATCTTCAACCTAATGCTAGGAGGGGTTTTCTAAGAATTTCATAGGCCGAAATTAATCCCTCTAGTGGAGCACTCATTTCATTGACTAAAACGCATAACTACAGGAAAACCAGCCCTCCGTAAGGAACCTTTTCGGTCAATATGGTCCAGAGTATCTTCTATGATTGAATGCTCGTTTTCTCGTTGTGCTAGTTTAATGGTTCTGGCAGTTGTTAGGTATGGCAGGCTAACCACACTTTAGCTTTTACGGTGACAGCCTTGGTAGTGCTGCCTACGTTTTAAAAGTTTAAATAGTCTTCAATATTACAGATGTAACCTATGATCGAATATATGATCGCTTCCTGTTAATGAATACATATATTCGAACACGAAGTTGTCATTTATCGTGATTTCACTCAACACGATTGTAAATTTCTTCATAGTTGACAAATAGAAATCAGTATTCCATTTAAGGTGCTGTGTGTTCATCGTTCCAGCTTTCTCTAAAGAAAGTCTTTCATTTTATCACCTCAAACTTACTTCACGCTCATGTTTCTGAACAAGGTTTTAGAAATAAGCAATTTGATCGTTTCCCCAAGTGTACTTATTTTCCCTTTTAATGTCCATCGTACGTGCATAATTTGCCTCATTTTCTGCTAAACCATAATACGCTTATTTGCCACTTTCTGTTCTATATTATGGGTGTTTTTCATAATGCTATGATTTATGACCTATTGTCCATGTGGATAGATCTTCATCCCTTCTTTTCATCTCCATATAGCTCTGCAAGCCCATTTGCCTGTGTCTAGTCGAAAATAGTTCTGTTCATATTCCGGTTGGTGGTCGTTATCTGGTCGTAGTTGCATCCGCGTGCACCATGCTACTCGCTGACCTTCGTTTTTCGCACTTTTGGGCTGCATAGTGGCCTTCCTCGTCCATCTGGACTTTGCTTCATTTGGTTGAAAGCTTTCTGGACTACCTTGGCGAAGGGTCTTAAAGTACACGAAGCATTGCTGCGGTTTTTTCTACTTCGTAATTCAAGAGAAAAACGGTGTCTTCGTTTTCATCGTAGTTGTTTTTACAAAGAAGGTCGTAGTGGAATTTCACTTGATTTCGGAATCGTTCAAGATCTTGATAATTTATACACATGCTTGATTATTTATTTGGGTTTGCATCTCATTCGTCATTTGAGTAAACATGTTTCAATGAACCCACAAAGTACAACAATATTTCATGGGTGTTACCGAACAAAGACTTTGGAGAGAAATCTTTCAATGCCTTCCACGTTTACACCAACATTAATCTGTCTAGGTATTTTCTGTTTTCCTGGGGGATTGGGCAATTTGTGATTGCTCCGGCGGGACCATTTCTCAGAGTTGTCAACCGACTCAGGCGCTGGGTGTCCCTGTCGTGCGTACTTTTAAGTGTATTTTGGTTGCATACGTAGTTTTTCCCTAACTCTTATTGGTTGGCTGTAGTTGCGTGCATGTGAAACGATGCGTTATGATGTAAGTGACACTTTCGTAGTTTTTCATTCTGAGGTCTTTCCAATGTTTATCGCCTTTGTTGTGGGCCCCAGCATGTGGTCTTGAGCCACGCCGGTGCCACGAAATTAACCCTCACCCGATTCCGCTTCCCTGATACCCGCAATGAAGAAAAGGCGGGAGAGGACGTGGACACAACCGTTTACTCCAGAACTTAACCATGTTGATGTCACTGTGTGTTGTGTGTGGGGTTCGCGCGTGTGTATTTATACCTCGGATGTGTGAGTCATACATGCGCTAACATCGAGACCTATGTGCGAGGATAATCTAAATAGTGTGATTGAGGGTGGGGGTGAGAATCCGCGCTGCTGACGACATGCTGCAAAAGGGGGAACCCAGTGTCGGAGGTGGATTGACCGGATTAAGGGATGCGAATAAACACGATTGACAACACCTTTGCCTCGGTTTTTATATGATTCAAAACCCGTCAGCATCCTGACAGACGTAAAACAAATGTCCAGGCACGTAACCGGTCGTATTTGATAAGCTTAGTTGTTCTCTATGTCGAAAAAATAGGCTCGTATTCTTTCCAACGTGTTAAAATTAGATTATCTGTCATTTCAGGAAATAACCATAGCAGTGTTTGCTTGTCTCCGATGACTCACACGCGTTTGTTGCGCTCGATGAGCAAGCCCCCTCTCGACAACGTTGATCCTCTGGTTTCTCATCTTCATTGATGTCCCACAAAATCATTGTGTTGATTTTTAGGGGTTAAGCCAATTTTTTTGTGTTCGATGCTTTTGTACTTGTAGGCGTTATCTTGGTGCATTTACGAACATTCGTGTTTGGTGCGCTCTGTACAAAATTTGTGTCTGCTTATTATGACCTGAGTTTGGTTGCATTGGTGTCTCATTTTGCGCACATTTCGCCGCCTCACTGCGTCAGAGATAAGTTTTTCTCATAAGCTATTTTAGCTGCCGCAGTCACATCTTCGCTCTCCTAATCCCCACTTTGAGTTTCACATCAGGTTATTACAACGTTTCAGCCATCGTTAAATTGGTTTTTGCATGACCTCAGAATGTTCCTCAACAAATCTTATTGTGTGCCTGCTTCTGCCTGCTATTTTTTGCTGCTTAAAGTGGAAACTTGAAAGACTACTAACACAACGAATCGACCTTTAAGAATATGCGTTAAATTTGGTCATTTTTCAAAATCCTAGTTTGGCGTTTTTGCAACCTTCCACGCAAGTGGTAATGGATTTAATCGACCGAATGCCTTGATAAATTTTGCCTTATTTTGACTACCCACATTTTATTAATTGGTCTCATCGGTTCTTTATTACCGAAGTTTTACCTTTCGTAATGATGAAACAAGGTGACGAGCCCAGGTTATTTAATGAACAGCCTCATAATTAAATTACATTTCCCATCACTGCCGCTTACAATTTACGCGGTCCCCGTGCCATCTCTTATAACCCACGATATTGGTTTGCTCCTTTAGATCCGACATAAACACAGCGCATCAGCGCTGTCAGGCCTCCGAAAGTCGACTCGGCGAGCCTCGGGTCGCGAGACAACTCATCCCTCACCGACCCCCTCCACCTGATCTCCACTTGTGTGTCCATTCAGGCAACATCGTTCCAGCTTCCCCTGTACAGCTTTACTGATCAACCCTGACTTCTCGGTTTCTGCTTCTTCGTCTTCGTGTGACACATGGCTCTTGGTGGTTGTGGCGCCGCCGGAAGTAGCTCTCCCGATTACGGAGTTGTGCTGTTTTGTCTCACCTTAAAACGAATGTATCATTTAGTGTTTCATCTGTTCCGCTCTAGTCATTGTGTGTCATGCATGGATTATTTGGCTTTGCTCAATGTTCATTTGAACTCATGAGCGCGCTAGAGTCAAATTTCAAAATTACCAAGTAGATGCCCATATTTGATAAGATTTTCTCAGATTGACCGTAATCGGACTATTGCGCTAATACGCCTAGCGTTGGGTACTACATGCGAAAAGGATTCTACCGGTCCTAAACTGTAACCGGGGCCGATTGTTCAAGCTTAGATGTTTGAGTAATCACCTGGAGACGCTAATATTTAGAATCTGATTCATGGTCACTTCGTCAAAGGAATTCTCAAAGGCGCTGACGAAAGGCACGGACACTCAGAGTTGAGGACTAGGACGATTTTCTAATTAATGCTGCGTGCAGTCCAGTCACTCATTTTGTTTGTTGTCAAAAATTGCAGTTTAGTTGTGGACTAGTCATATCCGGGAACAAGGTTTCAACTCGTCGAAATTAGTCTCACTCATCTATCCATCATCATCATCATCATAACAGGCATGTATTTGGTCGCGTTGCTTTGAGTTTTTAGGTCCTCTAATATGTTGAACAATTGATTTGGATGTGATTGGGTTTTCTTTCACCCAAATACCAGATGGCTAATATTTTATTTCGGGTTCCTACAATTGTGGACTTATGACTGAACAGATTTATGTGACCTAACGCCTTTGTACACAGCTAGCACACACTTTATCCAATCTATCTAGTATCTGAGACACCTTAACTAATTGGTCTAAAACCAATGCAAATGTGATGAACGATTCCACTAATGAGTTTCATATGAGTAGTCAATTTTGAAAGTCATATTCGTCCCTTTAACGAATGACACATATGGGACGAAAGCCGAGCTTGAGATGGGTCCGCTTAGCTTTAGGGAACCGGTTTGAAAAAATTGGTGGCATGGGACATTTGAGCATGGCAGCGTGAAGACGGAATTTATTTAGGGCAACTGCTCAGAAAACATGCGAATGCACCGTTTGCTCTCTTCGCTACCAGTCTCATTTTACCGGTATAGCGTTTTGACCTCACATTGTTACAACTTGAGAAGTTGAATTACTACGCTTTTAAGGAACTTGTAATGTGCCACCAAAATTAATTATTAAAAAAGGAATTAAATCTTGAAAATTGAAAGTCATTGGATAGTGAGGCTGAGTAAGGTAAAACCTGATTTCTAGTTTGATATCTTCAAGCAGTAGCCAGAAGTGAAGATCCATACGGAAATAAAATAGTGATACAAGCTGCTAAAAACCATCATCTATTCGAACACTCCTTCATTGCATAAAAATTTAGCTGATATTCAGAATCTGCTTGGTGGGATGGTAAATAATATGTAATGGTTTATTATGTGGTGTGCTCCAGGAAAGCAAATGCAAGAATGGCGCGAAAAATAGACTATTTCATGAAATGGCAACATTTAACGTATTACCTGGATGACTGGAAAAGACAAATCGTGTCGATTTTTATTTTGTTTGACTAAAAAATTATTATATTTTTTATATATTCGGGTCCAAATAACACCAGTTCAAGGCTGATTAAATATTTATATTTGATTGAAACTTGTCAAGATGTTGAAAGGCACATGCAAGAAAATCAAGCCCAACTTTTTATATATTTTTTCATCAAGTACCACAGTTCGCAAAATTCTGCTTTATTTCTGTGATATTAAATATCTGGCAATTTGCACGTGGCCCGATTGGTAACAATATTGAAAACGGTCGTTTTAATCGTTTCCTACATTGAATGTGTGATGCTTTTTACTTAAATTTTTCATTTTTTGAGTCCTTTGTGCCTTAGAGAATTGAATGAATCAAAGCTAAGATGACATGGAAGAGGTTTTTGTTGAAAGGTTTAGCATGGCTTGGATTTTAATAATTTTTCATTCCACTAAGCTTGATTGTGTAATATAAATTAAGTATGTCAAGCATGATTCCTTATACATACTTGTTTTTTAGGAAACGATACCATGAACAGTTGTTGAATATCGCAAGAAAGAAACTTTGGCTATACATCAAACGATAGCAATAAGTCTATTCCGTTAGTGAAATATTTTGATGTACTTGCGCGCCCGTCGTTAGGTATAATTAAAATCAATGTGAAATTAAATCAAAATTCAGTGCTTTACCATACTTTACGGGAGTTCGTTAAGAAAACAAATATTTTTAATTAAATTTTTGATAAATGTCAATTGAAGTCCGTTATATTGCAAAAATCGTAATCTAGCAATTAATTATATTTGTTGAACAGAATGCAAATAAAAAATGAAAAATTCTATTCATTCGAACAAAATAATGATGTTTTTGGGCTAATTGTCTACAGATTTCTGTAGTTTTTCTCAAAATTTCTGTTTATGAACCATTTTGATTTTCCGTCGGACCACCTTTTTGTTAGTTGTTCCATTTTTTAATCATCAGGTTTTATGTTAAAATTCTGGTAAAACTTACAATATACTTAAATATACTAGTCAGCTATTTAAGGCAATTTCGTAGCGTGAATGTGATTGACATTGAGGTTAGCCCTGTTTTCATACATGACTTCTAAAATTTTAATCATCTTGGTCGAATGCCGTGTCATTGAGTTTGTCACGTGCAATCGATAAAAAAATTTTATCGCTCCCATTATTAATGTAATTTAATATAATACTACTTTTTTTAGTTTTGACAATGAAAAGTGACTCTATTCTTCAAGAGGTCCTGATACCTTTAAAATCGCCTTATAACTGAACGTCAACACACAGCCTTTCTTTGATTGGTAGAAGCTTCTTCGGGTATTTTAGTGGTCGACGTGTCCTTTTTTGTCGCATATCTTAGTGGTATAATGTAGGTCTCTTGCCTAAAAATAACTATTAATTTTTTTTCTACATTTCGCTGTTTTAGGTCGAAGGTTTGCTTTAAAGTAACATTGACATCCGACCCCAATTTGCCGTACAAAGTGTATGCAGTCGATTTCCTAATTTCCTTTTCTCAGCTTTAATGTACCTGATTCCGCCCCTTTCACGGCCGTTCTAAAATACGTGGCGGAAGAGGTAGGTCTAATTGGACTTACTATCAATTTTGAGGAATAATGTTATATAATATGTTGAACTGTTAAAGTTCCACTTCGATCTGACGAAATATTTTTTGTGGTTTGTAATTTGGTTTTTTTACAACTACCAAGAATGAGTATTCGATCATAGATCTATTCCGTTTTGGAATTACACATTTTCTGTTCAAAAATTCGTCGTAAAGTATTCATATCGGTTGCTTATTTTACCTTTGATATTCCCATTAACACTTGTTGTATTTTTGTTAACCTATTGGCCAGTATTTTGTAGTAAAGTTATCAATGGAGTAGAAGGTACCATGCCTTCAGTGATCACACGTATTTACAAAACTTCTGCGATTTTCATTTTAATAACGTTTAATTTTATATTTTAGTTCAAAGTGCCACCCGCTACTAGTGCAATTATTACGGATGACGGAATTGGAATTAACCCAAACCAAAATGCTGGTAGGTCGTTCCTATGATCTAACGTTTCATGGTTCCTCACTAAGGAATCACGTACTTAGTAGCGACTTGCAGTAGTCAACCAGCCTAATTACTTCCACACATTAAAATCAACTAGTCCTCTAACCTGTCACCTTTCATCACTGCACTTTGGTCTACGTGCATGGAGTGATTCTGGGATTCTCAGATAATGCAGTTAGACGTTGTCGTTGAAAGCCGGACGCATTTCTAATTCCGCTTGAACCTTCCAACACCACCACATGCTTGGCGTAATTTTTTAACAACTTAATCATATGCTTAGGTCAAACCTCAGTAAGCTCAATTACACTGCTGTCATTTTAGTTTGCGCCATTATCTTTTATTCAAAGGGAATGATCGACTATAACTTCTGTAAAAGTGACAAAATATCGTTCCAGATGTGGCCAAAAATTGTTTTACATTACCTCGAATTATTTTTTTTTTCAACTGGGTTCGTGTATAAACCCTAAATGCACTTAAAAAAGTACTATCTACAAACAACGCATTCCTTTTGTTCTGGGCTAACATTGAGTAGGCAACTTATCTGTTGAGATTTTCCGCCGTAACGTTAAATTAGATTTGGATCTGATACTGCAACCTTTCTTAGTACATGGTATCGCCTTGCTCCCTGTTCATCGCTATTGTAATTTACCTGATTGAATTTGTTTTAGGCGAAGTGTTTCTGAAACATGGCGAGAATTTAAGGCTTATCCCGCGAGATCGGGTCGGAAGAAGATGATTTATGCCACTCAATGGATCTTGTGATTTTGCTTTCTATTTTGAAGATCCTTTTGTTGTAAATAAAGGACGTACATGCTAAGTATTTTATTATTCCACAAACTCTAATTATACCTTAATCTCCAGTGAAGGCCAGTGAGATTTAGAAATTCGCAATGACCGTGTGGTAACAAGTTGAGCAGAAGTCGCCTAAAAGGTTACCCCTGACTCTCATGCGATATGGAGTGTGAAGGGGCATCAACCAATTTAAAATTATGCTGCGGGTAGGCATACGGTGTGCTGTTGTCCCGGAAAGTAAGAACTTGGACTCCCGGAACTACTCAGGCATGATTGCAAATTTTTAACCGATTTGAATTATCAGATGCATCCGAAGTGAGTTGTCAAATCACTCACCGGGGGATCACTGTCTGCGTAGGTTGCAATGGCGGTTCTAGTGAGGATGTCTAACATGCCTTGGAAGTCAGCATTTCATTGAAAGGCTGACTGGTGGCGAATATAAGGCATATAGCCGCTGTGAGCTCAGTGACGCCGATGGGAGTTTATAAAACTACTTGGCGAGTGATTTTGCTCCACACCTAACACTTCATTTTACATCGGATATGAAAGCTGATCCCGGGTTTCGGATGGCTACAAACAAGAGAGTCAGACGCGCAGGGAAATGTGCTTTGCCGCCATGTCGGGTACTGAAAGGAACATGCAACAACAGATTAACAATGAAGAACCAACCCTTGTAGATTCATCTATATGATTTCAAATAATATGACTTTGGTGAAAGTTTTAACCTACGGACAACGATATGACGATACAAGGCAAAGTCAATGTAACACATGAAGCCATACAAGTGGAAGTTCAGTATGTCTGTGCACGGTTCGAAGCCTGTAGGTATTCCCGAGGTAGATTTGGTGGGTCAGCGATCATCATCCTGAAATGCAGAAACCTCCGAAGACCGCTTAATTGTGGTCGTGTTCCCCCAAACACGAGGCTCTTTATCAAACTTCCCGAAAGATGTGATAGGCCAGAGCCGACAGAACACACGGTACTCCAACCGCCCAAGTGGCACTGAGCCGTAAGTTCGAGAATCAAGAGAGTGAAGTTGGTTGTCACCTTCAAGCCAAACGTGCTTTTCAGGAACCTTTGTGTACAGAACATAAAATTAGAATTCCCGACAGAAGACGACAACGGGGCAACTCTACACCTATAATATAATCACAAGTTTTTCGCTGAGTCATATGATTTATGTGACAATTTTCGTATGTTAATTTGAACTCAACCCTAACAACCACCAAATGAAGCTTTTTTTTCAAAGGATGGCACCCAAACATCTGAGTTACGTCTGGTTGCACGGCAATTTACGTGTGCGCTTCTCATTAAACTGATGTAATAACTTATTACCATGTAACAATACAAATGCATTTAAAACAGTCTCTCCAGGGGCATATATTTGCAGTGTTTGTTAAGGCTTATCAGTTGACTAGATTTACCTTAAAAGGCAGGAAAAAAATCAAACAAATATTATGAACTTCGCGTAAATATAAATTAAAGCGTTAGATTATTTCGATAAAATTTGCAAACTCGACACAGAATCGTTGAACGACGGTGACCAATTATCATTTAAAGAACACGATATCTTACATAAGCGGTAACAGGCTTGGCCAATTTCGGACTCCAGTAGACAACGGGTTCACCACCGATCGCACGAACGCGTTTGAGAATGTGACAATGAGTGCGTGGTCCACGAGGTTGTTTCGCAACAACTATGTCACCTCTTAAGATACTTAGATAAAACGTGCACTACCTTTTAATTCTACCACGATATAAAGAGAATTTTTCTACGAGCAAATAATCACCGTGATGTATTGTAGGCTCCATACTTATGCCTTCACACTACCTATAATCATCAAGAAATTCTTGGCTACATAAACCACTGTTCCTAAGTACGAGTGACATTGGTAAAATACTATTGATGCACCCAGTGAGTAGGCAAATATGCGAAGACTTGGAGACATTGATTTGAGCACACGAGTTTGGATAGCCCGATTGTGCGGTGAGTGGCCACATCAAAAGCCACCACCTAGGATGTCATTACAAAATCAAGAACACTAGTTATTTTAACTTCCATATGTGGGCTCTAATATATTATGGAGAACTAAACAGTTTTTTTAAAAGCATTCTTTTTAGGGCGAATTAATAGGTTAGGTTATCAGCAACACGCGAATCGTTCTTACGATTCTGATGGTTGCAGTTGAGTAAATTATTCGTATCGGTAAAATGCGATAAAAAAATACTAGGTGAAAACTCAGGTTTAATATTATAATTTAAGATGGTTCTTTAATGTGTAATTTTTTATTAGAAATGGGAATTTTCAGTGATATTATCAATTGACCAGTTATCAAACTATAGAAACCTTCTACCGGCATTTATTTAAAAGTTGCAACTGACAACTAGATTTTTGAGTTAATTTTGTTTTCAAAGATTTTTGACTCGATTATATTACTCATCTCAGCCTTTAAGAATTTAGTCTGCCCTTTTTTTCTGGATGTTACTGATGAATGTTTATGGTATTCTGGTCAGTTAATAATGCTTTTACTAAAAACCTGTTCGTAAATAACACAAAGGCATCAGTGTTGATTAACTAAAAGAAATATATGCATACATATATATTCGCGAAACATCTAATGACCAAAACGTGCCTTGGATTTTCCAAGGCACTCAAAATTTGGCAGAGAGTAATTGTTATGGAAACTAACATTAATTGTTATATGTGCTGTCATTGATTGTGGACAATGATATGTCTTGCTATTTACGAGGTGCATTTTATGGAATAAAACAGTGTGTTATTAAGATCCATTCCCTTTAAGTTTGCTTGTTACAATCAATAATAATCCAATGTTGTTAATGAGTCAAGCATCTCTTCTTTAGGCAGATAGATCAAAATTAAATAGCTGCTACTGGATTCGAAAGACAAATCCTACAATTATAGCGCGCCATTCGACTGAGGTCCACCGGTCTGGTCTGTTCTTCGTCCCTCTCTCCCTTTCCGCACCCTCAACTTCCTCACGGCACGCCCATGAGTCTGAGGGCAACGCCGGCCCTCCTAACGGCCATCCATTTTCTCTTCCAACTCTCCCTTAGCCCTGGCCCTCCGGATTTGTATGCGGTAGTATGGAATGCATCCGGTTCTTTCAGTTATTCTTCAATCGTGTGCCTGGTAGCTAACCATGATGGTGTGGCTATCTAAGAGGGACGGTCTAACAGTCATCTACCTATTTAGGTCCCCTCTCGCTAGGTACATTACACAATATCTATGCACATTTTGCGTTTATGACTGCTAATGTTGATAGAAATTGGTGTGATCTCAATCAACTTTAAAGGCGGCAAGTTGCTAAATCTCCGACAAAGCTTTTCTCTCTAAAGCACAAAAGTCAACTGATAGAATTGTATGAGATCATAATTTGTTGCAGAATGATTTTCACTATATTCTGTGAATTAAATTTATTGTTTATATATATGGAAGCACATCAAGTGTTGCAGTGTGCCGCAAATTATCATGGATGCTATACAAAGCACTGAAGTACCATCCCAAGAAGAATGTCGAATGTGTCGTACTCTTAGTTATCAAAAAATGTCACTGGATACAATCAGATATGCAAATGATAAAAGTTCTCTTAAAAATTTCATTTCGAAAAAAATGCTTGCACAAAACGTGAGTGTTTAACTAATTGCTTGGATCTAAATTAATTTTGTTTGTCATAAACTGATTGCATTAATATAGTTTTGAATGACTTGTATCAATTTTGTGATTCTCTTCTTTAATTATTGGACGATTCCCCAAGTTTTATTTATTTTCAAATCACCCATCATTTTGTTTCAGGCTAATACTTTAGACCCAATCTTTGAACAAAATGTATACGTGAAATCTTTGAATAAAAAATTTAAAGCTTAGATATATATATACTGACATTACATAGAGCGTATTGGTATACAGGACGCACATGCTCTAACTTGCCACTTATTCGTTCTGATTATTGTCACGTTGGTTTAGTTTGAAATTAATGGATAATTCTATGTCTCATATAATCGTTTGAAACATCTGGAAGTACTTCTATTTTTATACGAAGCGGTGAAATATTTCCTATAAGCGTTTTGCACACAAAGCATGCCATTCTTCTTTAAAATGACTCATCTTTTAGTGCTACAATTATCTAAAACAACAATTATACTAATCCTCTTACAATAAAATTGCTATTTTACCCTTGATTGCGGAAGTTGAACCTCTCTTCCAAAAGACCTACCCTTGCGTTCAGATCAAGGAAGTTAAGGATTGCGTTATTTAGCGTATTTGCCTATGGTAACTAGTAAACTTAAAACATTATGATAGCAAAAGAGTTTTTAAGGCAATAATTTGCGTCTGTTTCGTGATATCGGCTTGAGATTGTATAAATGAGTTGGTGAGGATGAGCGGAGGTTTGGCTTAAATGTATTCCAAGCCGTTCTGTAGACAATCAAAATAAGCTAACGGAATATCCATTGTGAATAAACAAATTTTTTGCCTTGTTCATGGCTACCAAATGGTCAGCTTATATGACAGACTGCCCTTAAAATATGGCATCAGTTCAGATATCTACGTGATAGAGAAGATTCAGTGACCTAATTATGAGCCCAAAGTGTTTCATTCCACTCATCATCAGGCATTTTCAAGGGTTTGTAAATATTGGGCAGGACATATTTACGTTTACAGAGTTAAATTTATTTTCAATTTGTTACATGTATATTTGTTCTTTACCGTTTTTGGTTGTTTATAAATCATGACATAAATTTGAGTTGTGCATTCATATTCGACTGAGTGTAACCTACCTTAATTCAAAAAGCTGCCAGATTCGTTTTTATATAACTAAATGAATTCCGGGCATATTGCAAAATAAAAGACAATTTGGCGGAATTTCAAATACTTGGTGTAGTGATGTCAGATTTTTGGGTCACCTCATTCTGTGCATTAAGTCCTATTTCTTGGGGATCACGAGGACAAAATTACTAGGTTCAAACTGATAACACATACTACCGTCTTTTAATATGATAACTGAAGTTTTGATATTTTATAACTCTGAGTAATTGCTTCGTGGTTTCAAGCTGGAGATGAATTAGTATAGCTAATCCGATCTAAATCGCATGCATGAGGACAAGAGTGCTCTACAAGATTGAAATACCTATTTCAACTAATTAATTTTTTTACTTGTAACGCTCACTGAAAGGATGCTAAATGAATAGTTTATCGAAAGATTCATTGGAAGGTAAAAAACTTGATGTCTAGGCTCAAGTTGACCCGTTGAACCCGAAAAAAAGACGACTTGCAACGCTCGACAAAGTATACATTTTACATTTGATGAAAAAAATGTTTCGTAATTTAAACTAAGCAAAGAATAAATGTCAAACGGTTGACGTTCATAACAAATAAATGGATATATTGCTGTGAACAAGTACAGGTACCATGTATCATGACCACTTCCCGCCCACACTTCAAATTATAATTGGTGCTTAGTAAGTCTGAGTATTAAAACAACGAATAAGTCAAGGCCAACATAATTAAAGTAACACCATATTCATCTTGATTTCGTATTTTATAACACTAACGCCTACTTCATTAATCGATAGTGCTGCATCCGAAAGAATCGGTGTAAAGCAACATAGGTATTTCTTTCTGCCTTTAATATGTTTTGACACATCTTCTAAATGCTGTGAACCTAGGTCTTCGTCATCAAGTGTCCATAATGGAACACATAAATTAAATCCAAGTCAGTTTGTTTATTCTGATTACTAACGTGACTTTGTTTAACTCAAGATAGGTGATTTTGACTTTGTTTCATGTTTAAATTTTCCCTAAGAGAGAATAAAATTTAACTTTTGTGTGCGTTGCAGTTGTGTACATTCCTAAAAGAATTTCTTTGATAAATCAAGACTTAGATAGCTAACTATTTTAGTTTAAAGGTGAAAAGGTCTATAAATTTGCTACCACCAAGTGTGTGCAAATCCAAAGCATCCTCAAAACACTAGTCCATTGTGAAAAAGAATATAATAATTCTCTTCGCAACAAAATTCGTGACCTTCAGTTTTGGTGAATATCAAAGTTGGGTAAACAATACTGTAAAATGTTGCTCTTAATATCTTTGTAAAAGAAATCAGGGATCTTACCTTGTTCATTGATAACTTAACACGCCAACCTAAGATAATTGGCCAAATGGAAATGCAATGGCCTTGGACACTATCATGCTCTAGAGACTTCTTTTATTTGTAATTTTTGGTTAGAAAAATGCAGATCTTTACACTGCTTAAGGTGGTTTGATACATTCATAATGTTGGGGATGAGATGTATCAAAATTTTATTTCAAATAGTCTGAAACAATTTGCAAGCTAAAAACTTGTGAAAATAATCTAACATTGTGAAGTAAATTATTGAAAAATAGATTAATTTGAAAGACTAGATGAGGTGATCTACGTCTTAGCATTCGCTGATAAATTTATTATTTCTACACGACGTAAAAGACACAAGGAGTCAGCTCGACAATAACACTTTTACAAACAAAAGCAGTCCAAAGTACACAACCTCCAAAACTGGATTTATTTTTAGCCATGTAGGTACACAGAATACTTCTTGCATTACTTTTTACAGTTAAAAAAAATTTTAGGATTTAAGATATAAAACAAGTCAATGTATTAAACAATAACACTCATTGGACAAACAGTTTCTTTAAAAAAATTACTGTAGAAGAACTTCCAAACTGTTGTCCTTCAATCTCATTTTCTAAATAACACATTCTAGCACAAAACTGGCATAATTTTTATTAGCTGCTATTTACCACTCTTTGTGTGATTAAAGAAGACTTTACAACGACGCATAACTTGTCAACCACACTTGAATGCGTTTTTAAGCATACAGAATCGAAGATCATGTTGAAATAAAATCCAGCAATTTATCAATGAATTTTGTGGCTGTATAAACATAATTTTGAAA